TGTATCTATAATCAATGCAGAGGAAAATACATGATTTGACGATAACTGTCTGAAAACTCCTTCATGTGAACAGCGTGACGTTTAACCTGTTTACAGTGTAAACGGAGGTAGCGCGGTTCGTTGATATGTGAGGTGGCTTACTGTATAAATACGGAAGTATTTCCGCTTGACAGACAAAACAACACTTGCACCGAAGAGACGTTCGACTTTTAGGTAATCCCACAAACACATCCCGTCTCCATCACTCGCCAACGCGGAGTGACATCAAGTGTTTCAAGCCCTGTGAGTCGTCAGTGAATCACTGTCACCTGATGGCGGAGGATGGTGGAAGGTTTCTTTGTATTATAACTGTCAGGTATGGTGTTTAAATGAGAATGCTGTCGCACCGTCGTATCGAACAACAATGACTTTTGCACACGTCACACATGTCTTGCTCTTATAAACATGAGAGTGTATGTTACTCGACAGAGGCGGGCACAGGATTTTGAAAAAAAGTACGTGTGTGTCTGTGTCTGTGTGTGTGTGTGTCTATGTTGATGTGTCCGTGTCTGTATGTGTATGTGACTTTGTGAATGTCTGCCTTCTTGTTTGTCTGCAGAGTCAGTAACCTATGATTGTGGGTTCGATTCCCGGTTCGCCCCAATTATGTTTCTATGTTTGTCAGCACCATACCCGTGCTCGTGGGTTTCACCGAAGTGGTAAACGTCTGAGACCTGCATCACTTCGGGCTTTCCTCCCAAATTAAGCTGACACGCCGAGATATAACTGGAATACTGTTAAAAGCCGCGTTAAAGGGGCACTGATCTAAAGCAATTCCCCGGGACTGGTGGTTGCCTTTGTTTTTGTTTTTTTCCCGTGAGTACCCGGATGATATAGCAGAAACCTAGACCATTCGTCACCACTCGTCCCTTTCCGTAACCTGCAAGAAGACTCGTCCCCCTATCGATGAATGTTATGTGCGAAAATACGACAAACCAATCAGAATGCGCGTATGATTTCAAGTTCTTCGTCAATGAATTCCTCAGAAATAATTTTTGATTTTACATATGTCTTGCATCTAAAAAATAACCAAGGACACAGTTTAATGTGTTCAATCATAATAGTGTATAATTCCGCACGTCCCAATGTGCTTTAAATTGCTTCTGAAATATATGGAGAAATAATATGTGAACCATTACGCAACGAGTTGACAGTTGTTTTAGGTATGCCCGTTTGCGCTAAGACGGAACCCGGTCGCAAAAAATGGCCATGAGAGGGGCACGAGTCGCTATTCGGCTTGTCCCGGGATAGCACGAGTTGGTCACGAATGAAACCTAGACTAGTTCGCGACCTGTGCTGCGCAATTCGTAAGCACATTTGTCACTTTTATTGACAGTATGAGGGCGTATGGTCACATCTATCAACAAAATGAAATACAGTTTTGGAGATAATAAGGAAATGTACGTATCTTTGTGGGTAGCATCGGTTATGGTGACGAACTTTTGATGAGTCACTTGCTTGGTAATTGTGCGATTTTCGTTTACACTATTTTGACTTGCAACACAAAATAAATATTTCTCCTGAGCATTTCTTATTTTATCGTGTTTATATTTTTTACAGTCAAAATGTGCAAAATTTTCACTTTGGAAATTTATTAAACGCCTGAATATTCAGTTATTTTGCAAATTGGCTAAAAAAATATTAAATATGCCCACCTGTATTATATTATAATATCGAATTCCAAACATTTTGATGTTTAATGTCATCACCAAGAGACTGAAAATGTTACCATGAAAAGTACATTTCTATATTGTTTGGCTTCTGATCCTACATAATTATCTATTGTGATGTTTTTTGGCCCCTTTGATCGTCTTAATCAGTTTTAGTCAATCTGTTAAAGAAATGGACAGATTTTTCAGTCAAAATGTCTTAAATATTTACACATTTTATAAATTGCCTGAGAGAATCACATTTTACAAATTGACTGTAATATATACACGCTTTCAAAGGAACAGACTTGTGAAAAACAACGTCTATCGCGCATCGAAGAATTTCCCAATCAAGACGTAGAGGAACAGGAATGAATCTGTCCAATGCTACAGCAAATGAAGGAAAACAAAATGCAATATCATAACTACAACCTACCAAATTTATGTGTATAATTTTAGGCAGCTTCCTTGTTCGAGGAATGCATCCGTGAATATCAACACAAAGGAACAATATGCCAAACGTCTGCAGCTGTACAAAGAAACTTATTCGATGTCACGTGTCTCTGTAACAATCAAATATTAAAAAATATATATATCGTTTCGGCATATTATAACCCGTGTTCGTGGGTCCTACGATTTAACGTCCGAGGACGCCTGGGAACGTCCGGGGGCGTCCGGAAACGTCCGGAAACGTCCGTGAGGTTTCATCAGACGTCCGGGGGTTTAAAAATACAGTGCAGTCAATAAAATATTTCTTTCACAGTTTGGTAAGATCGTGAGAATATCAACTGGCGTCCGTGTTTGCCACGTGCAGCGGCCAGAAAATGGAAGTACTAGTAACCGGAAGCTTCCGGCCGCTGCACGTGGCAAACACGTACGCTAGTATAATTAATACAAGAACACAATTATATAGAATACACTTTATTATTTAGTATCATTCTTCCGGACACTCCCACCAGATGCTCCCCGACGTTATTAGCTATGGAATAGCATACAGAATATGACACTATAAAAGAACATTATTTTTGTTCCATAAGCAAATTTACATTGCATCCTTCAAAGCCTACGTTACGACTACCTCGTCAGTTCGAATAAAATCAAATCGTATTTGCTTCGCAGATTCACCATTTAAAAAGAATAGGGGTGTATGTAATTTTTTTCCAGCTATATGTTATTTTGTATAATTAATACAAGAACACAATTATATAGAAAACACTTTATCATTCAGTATCATTCTCCCGGACGCTCCCTGGCATTGCCCGGACGCTCCCGGACGTTTCCGGACGCCCCCGGGCGTTATTTAGAAGGACCGGTGTTCGTTTGTCAACTGATCACTTAGATTGTTTCAGGTGTTTCACATAGGTGTCATGTCTCAAAGGTCGGCTGAGAAAGCCCACGTGGCAACTATTTTCATAACGTCCACGGTTCCTAAAAAAATCCATTGAGTTAGAAAACAATGAACAATCAATCAATATATCATCGGTTAACCCATGATATGAGTGTATTCCCTTTGTTTTAGTAAACCTAGACATGTAAACACTCACTTTTGACATATCCACTGTGCAAGATAACAGTGATTAATCAATCAATGTATATTCTGTTAATCCTTTGATGACTAGGGTTACGATCCGTTGATTTACAAAAAAGTAAATCAACTGATCATTCATCTCTTGCTGGGCTGCCACGTGCATATTCCATAACACACATCTCACCTCACTGTAAACCTGGATTTAGATTGAATAACTACCCCAGGCACAATAAATGCCAAATTTGAACCTTTGTCAGGTATTCTGAGCGGTGCTACCACTAATCATATCTGTAATAAATTCATTAACTGAGCATCAAGTGAATGACGACAAATACACAAGTGTAGGGATATACGAGAAAACGTGGATGACAACAAGGGAGTAGTAATTGTATTATCCACCTAATCCGAAATCCGAAAATGCTTTCACTGCATGGATACTCTTTTTTTAACTATAACAATCATATAACTATTTCCAAATGACGACATCCGATGAGTTTCTTTTTGTCCGTTTGTTTAGGCTGAAGAAATTAATTAACATGCGCCCTTTGTAGAAATCTTTATAGATCACGGTTAACCAATCAGTGTTCAAAAATGAGTAAAACAATTATTGCCTCCAAGTTTATTCAGCTGTCCTTGCAGACGGTAGCCCAGTCTCTTGTCACGCTCAGTTTCGTTGCGTATCATCCGGGTACTCACGGGGAAAAAAACATAACAAAGGCAACCACCAGTCCCTGAGAATTGCTTTAGATCAGTGCCCCTTTAAACCCAACTCACTCACTCACTCACTCAGTGGTGACATCAGGTCCACGCCACGCCACGCCTTGTCACGCCACGGTATATATATACCTACGCCTGGAATGTTTATCAATCACGTAATTTTTGTCTGCTTGTATTAATACTATTTTTAATTAAACTATTGTAGATAACACATTTTTGTTATCGAATTAAATAATACAGATTGACTGTGTATTAGTATCGGTTCATTGAGGTATGAATCGAAAAACCGATGTGCAAACTTTTGTTAGAATCCGCTACGCGTTTTATACAGTTTGCTCATCGGTTTTTCGCGTCATACCTCAATGAACCGTAAAATACAGCCGATCCTTAAATATATTACTTCTAGGGTACGAGTCTGGCTGTGGTTGATTTCACCCCAGTCATATCTAGATCTACACTGAGAGAAGGGTCTGTCAGTAGATCTGAGTTCTTGGTGTAACCATGCAGAAATGTAAACACAATCATACGATAATCACGTCAACAATGTTCAGTGGTATCGAGAGCCAGATTAACATCTACAACACGCACATCTGTACAATGTGACAAGAACGCCGCGTGAATCCGATGTAAACTAACGGTTCTAATTACACCTATGACTCTGCCAAAGACGGTATGGTACTCGATGTCTCAGGTCTCAGTTTGGTTTGCTTTGAAGGCCTCTCTTTGCATTAGGGTAAGTAGTATACTCCCTTTACATATATTTCATCTCAACATTATATGCAACATGTATGTGTGCTGGGTTTGTTAACTCGTTGACAGTCATTAATATAGATCTTTTCGACTGTGAATTCGACCCGTAGAGATTCCGGGGTAGAATAGGTCTTCAGCAACCCATGCTTGCCGTAAAAGACGACTATGCTTGACGTAAAAGGCGACTAACGGGACCGGGTGGTCAGGCTCGCTGACTTGGTTGATGCATATCATCGATCCCAATTGCGTGGATAGATGCTCATGATATTAATCACTGGATTGCCTGGTCCAGACTCGATTATTTACAGACCGCCGTCATATAGCTGGAATATTGCTGAGTGCGGCGTTAAACAACAAACCAACCAACCAACCAATCGACTGTGAATTCCGCTATTCGTGAATCACCACAGACAAGAGTAAATAACGTGAATCACATAAACTACAGTTACTATCTGCGTTGTGGGGACACAGATCAAGACTATTTCTGCTGAATGGATATGCATCATGAAGACACGAGCAATGATGTCTCTTCTTTTATTTTAGACTCGGAGACGTACGTCGCAATAACATCTACCTGCGAGGCACGTGACGAGTTGGTCATGGCAGCACGCCGAAAGTAAGACTTACTTATGGGTTCTTCTTGCAAAAAACGTTATTGTGACTATAGCATCTATTTATCAACAGCCTCATTCAACTAAGAAAGATATATGTGAAAATACCAAACTGAATATAGAGGATTGTAAACGGCTACTCCATTGGGATTCTGGATTAGGTCCCCATTAACCAATGCTTGTTGTAATTGTGAGTGAGTGAGTTGGGTTTAACGCCGCTTTTAACAGTATTCCAGTTATATCGCGGCGTGTCAGCTTAATGTGGGAGGAATGCCCGAAGTGATGCAGGTCTCAGACGTTTACCACTTAGGTGAAACCCACGAGCGTGGGTATGGTGCTGACAAACCTAGAAACATAATCGGGGCGAACCGAGGTTCAAACACACAATCATAGGTTTCTGGCGTGCCCAAGGGACGCAATTCTGCACAGCGAATCGCGGCGCCTTAGAAGACTGTGCCACCCGTGCCCCCGCTTGTCGTAAGAAGCAACGTAATAGATTTGGTTGTCAGGCTCTGTGACCTGGCTGATTTGCGTGCCATCATACCCGGACGAAGTGGAGTGATGTTCATATTATTAATCACTGGTTTATCTGATCCAGTCCTGACCTGTCTCGTCGCCATTTAAATGGAATATTGCTAAATGAGGCGTCAAACACGAAACCGTCTAAACGCCTGGACTAAGCTGGTCCAACATTGTAACATGACTGTAAAATTGTACTTTGTAACCATATATTGATGGCTGAATGAACTCTCGGGTATTTCAGTGTTTCTGTTATTGCTACTCCTTGTTATTGTTCAAGGTCCCATGAGGTTTATATATGGATGCCCACACAGTTTCTGAAGATCGGACACGTGTCTCTCAAGTTGAGTGATGGCACTTACATAAGTTGGTGGCCAAGACATGAGAAAGAGCTTAAAGATGCAAAGATTCATCAAGCTACGAATGGAATAGAAACCACCAATGGCACTGATCTGGATGATGACATTCAGACTATGGGGTATGAGTATGACGTGGAATTCACAATACCATCCAAAGTGTTACATCTCAAGAAAATGAAGAATTCCTGGTCATCTATTCTTCTGAAGTGTCAGTTTGATCCAATGAAAGAAAACTGCTGTTGGGTCGTTTACAACGTGTTGCATGCTGGGGGTGCTATATCTGCAGATGTACGGTCGCCATGGCGACCATGGATGATACGTCAGTATGTGTCGAGCTTAGTAGGGGGATCGTGAATTCATCAGATGACAACTACAAAACGCCGTTGCACCACCTGCTGTTCTGGATGTGTGTTGATTTTTACCTTCGTGTATGAACATGGAAAGATCCAATGTGGACATTATTTGACAGTTAGATTTCATTGACGAGTTGTCAACATCGGTCACTATACTAATGCCGTCATAGATACGACGTCATAGCTAAATCTGTATTGGAGGCAACATCCCCATGAATATCTTTATTTCTATGCTTGAGGCAAAAAGAAATCAGCCAGTTCCACAAAACATTCATTTTCTTCACTGTGAAAGGAGGACCGAAAGACATTTTCCTGAACCCTGATCCTGCAACACATTATGAAAATTATGTCCACTAAACAAATTATTTTTTAGCATTTTCCGGCCAGGTTATTTAAAAAGAACCGCCCCCACTCCCTCTCCCTTCCGAATGTCAAATTGTTGACCTCTAAATGAGGCCAGGGCACGTGATGTAACCGGCCAATGTATTTTTTAGTTTCACATCCTTGTATATGAAAGAACGATCGTGTTTTATTTCTGTAAATATTTGTTTAATACAATGAATTAAGACGTCAATAGAAGATCAGAGCAACATGTTATTATGTATTGTTAAGGAACGCATAAGATCAGCCTATAGGATTCAGTCATCTTCATATCTTAGGATTATGTGTGTACAGCCTTTTCCTGTTTGAAACCGGACACTGTTGAGTTGATCAAATAAGGTAAATGGAAGTTTATGGATTATCATGTTGAAATAACGAGATAAACAAATAAATGTGCATTCTTAACTGTTTATGGTATATAATTCAAACACCAGCGCAAGAGAATAATCAGTTTTAAAACTCTGCCGAAATAAATATAAAAGGCAGAGTAGTGATGATCATTATGCGCATGGATCACTCAACATCAGTGATGATATCAGTTATTTGCGAAAAGGGTATGCATGTTTTCTTCTACCGTATATCAAACACCAGCTATTTTCATTATAAAAGTAAAAGCCATGTAAAGGTCATAGTATTTGGTATCATCGCGCATCATTTTGACAAGCGACGTGTCATATGTGGTAAATTTCTCTTAATTGCCATGCAACTCATTGGAAAGCTAAGTTGTAAGCAGCATGCGTTGTTTCAAGAAATGTGTATAGAATATATATGTTGTGAGGTACAACATGTATGGAAACTAAAAGCTTCATGTTCATATCTACATTCTGAAAATGCGATACCAAATATATAATATATGAAAAAACAGTATCGCATTTGTTTCGAATCTGGAATTTCTTGACATTGATGGTCCTTTTCGCAGTGGGTCGATAAATCCTGGTTAGGGTAGTGATACTAAAGACATGATGCATTCTGCCTTTTGCTCCCCCACCCCCACCTCGGCAGATTTTTTGGTGTTATGGTATACACTTTATATGCAGTTGTTGATGTTGAAAGCGATTCACATTGTAAATATATGCACACGTTTTAAAATATTGGCCAAGATTACCATGTACACCAACAATAATTATTTCTGTACATCTACTATTCACACGGATTTGTACCACATGTCTATGGCCTTTCAGTTTTCTAAATAAAGACAAGAATAGAAATATATATTTAAGAGGTTTCAACAAGTCAGGTTCCTTATTTCCTCAACAGCAACGTCAAAACAGAAACTATTGTTTATCACCGAGGAAAGTACGCGTCATTGTTTCGTTACAAGGAAATGTTTGGGTTTACTGCACAGCATCTGTAGTTGCGTGTAGTCTCGTGAATGTCGCGTGCGTGTCGTGTGTTAAGAACTGTCATCAACACTCGTTCTCGTTTCCAGACAGATTTGGATTAAAGAGAGGTAAATATCTTTACGACTTCACTTCCCAGCCTCTATTGTTGTATATATGTCAGGGTGCCGTTGTACAAAACAACCTTAGCGCTAACGACTGTCGTAAGTCTATGTTAAGGTATGGGAGTTACAATCACCTTAGCGCTAAGATCGCTTTGTACCACGGCACCCTGATTTGTCATATCGTTTGGTTGAACAGTGATATCAGTATTGACTATATACAATAGTGAATCACGTTTATTTTCTGTAAAACCAGGAAACAAATAGATTAGAAAAGATTGCAACTTTGGCACAGTTACAACGTGCTACAGTGTCATTTACCTGGGCGCCCTACATGGCCCCTAGCTTATGAAACAGTGCAATCAGATAATATGAAACAGTTGTAACAGATCATTGCATGACAGTACAAACGATTGAAGAGAAGTTAAGGGAGTGACAAGCATGTTAGGTTGTCAATTGACAGTGGAAACAATAAATACAAATATAATTCATATACATTACGTTTCTAATTTACCCCTCTGGATGACTGAGGGACATATATCGAAACACTATCCACTATGGCGGAGATCTGGAGGTTCACTACGGCGATCGTGTATTTCCCAAAACATTCTAAACGATTCTAGGATTATCGGCGACGTTTTGGAATGATCATTGGTGCTTTGATGAAAGACAGATACAGACCACTAATATGCTATTTTTAACATGATTTCTCCGAGTAAATATCCGAAATTTAGATTTCGAAACATGCTGTAAATAACGCCGTGAATGGTGATTTAGTAATGTGTAAAATGGCGACATTTACGATGTACCTATCTTTCAGAGGTCATTTGCAGTAATTTTCCTATGCCTAAAATGACAGTGGGTGATATCACAGAAAAGGGGAATTGTCCACAGAATTCGAAAGTGTGAAGTGAAGTGTATTTGTGTGCGTGATGTACATGTATGTTGTATTTTATTCAACTGCAAAGTGAGGCATCCATTAGGAAAAGTGGATGCACTTTGTTCTTGGTTCCTTTATCTGTTGTTAATGGACGGCATTCTGTCCCTTAAGCACTCCGTTTGTCGAATACCAATGTGGCAGACTCAGGGTTAGCATTCGAGTACTTTGTGTAGAGTGAGTGAGTTGGGTCTAGCGCCATTTAATATTAGATCAGTTGAATAACGGCGCGGGGTCAGCAAGAAGATTCAAAGTGAACGCGGGTTTGATGCTGATAAACCAAGAAAATAATCAGTGTGAACCAGGATTCAAACCCATAATCATAGGTTTCTGGCACATCTCATTATAGGACGCATCACCACGCAGTTACTTACGACGCCTTAGACCACAGGCTCCCCGGAGATATCATGAGGATCCACCATTTAGAAAGACCAGTTGAGTGAGTAAGTGAGCCTGGCTTGTCTCCTCCAGTTGCAGTCCTTTAGCAACCATCGTAATCCATATACACACTGCACTACCAACAATCCACATGTAGATGCAATACCCCTTTTACACACGTCAGAATCCAAATGCACATATTACATTTTACACGCACACCAAACATTAGGTCGATATTTTAACGAACAGTCCACCTGCATTGATTGCAGTCCATCTGTGCATGTAACAATCCAGATGATCATCTACAAATCAACGTGCACTTGTCAGAATCAAGACAAAAAGCAAAATGTGTTCATATGTAGCAATGTATGTTATAATCAAGCTGTCCATGTGCATATGTAACAATCCAGGTGATCATTTTGCAATCCACGTGCATATGGCACAACCCAGATGGTTATTTAGCAATCCACCGGAACATGTAACACCCAAGATCATCATCTATCAAGCCACGAGCACATGTAAAAGTCCGAATTATCAACTAGCAATCCACGTGCATATGTAATAACCGGAGTATCATCTATCAATCCACGAGACACATGTACCAATTCGGATTAACATCAGCAATTCACTTGCACATGTAACAATCTGTATTTACATAAGCAATCCACGTGTACATGTTACATTCCGTATTATCATCTGGCAAGCCACGTGTACATTCAACAATCTGTATTATCAGCTAGCAATCCACGTGTACATGCAACAATCCGTATCATCATCTAGCAATCCACTTGCACATGTAACAATCTGAATTATCATCTAGCAATCCACGTGCACATGTATTAATCTGTATTATCGTCTAGCAATCCACGTGTACATGCAACAATATGCATTATCAGCTAGCAATCCACGTGTACATGCAACAATCCGTATCATCATCTAGCAATCCACTTGCACATGTAACAATCTGAATTATCATCTAGCAATCCACGTGCACATGTTTTAATCTGTATTATCGTCTAGCAATCCACGTGTACATGCAACAATATGCATTATCAGCTAGCAATCCACGTGTACATGAACACTTTGGATTATCATCTAGCAATCCACGTGTACATGTAACAATCTGAATTATCATCTAGCAATCCACGTGTACATGCAACAATCCGTATCATCATCTAGCAATCCACTTGCACATGTAACAATCTGAATTATCATCTAGCAATCCACGTGCACATGTATTAATCTGTATTATCGTCTAGCAATCCACGTGTACATGCAACAATATGCATTATCAGCTAGCAATCCACGTGTACATGCAACAATCCGTATCATCATCTAGCAATCCACGTGTACATGTAACAATCCGAAATATCATCTAGCAATTCACGTGCACATGCATTAATCTGTATTATCATCTAGCAATCCACGTGTACATGTATTAATCTGTATTATCATCTAGCAATCCACGTGTACATGAACACTTTGGATTATCATCTAGCAATCCACGTGTACATGTAACAATCTGAATTATCATCTAGCAATCCACGTGTACATGTAACAATCTGCAGTATCATCTTGCAATCCACGTGTACATGTAACAATCTGTATTATCATCCAGCAATCCACGTGTACATGTAACAATCTGTATTATCAGCTAGCAATCCACGTGTACATGTAACAATCTGTATTATCAGCTAGCAATCCACGTGTACATGTAACAATCTGTATTATCATCTAGCAATCCACGTGTACATGTAACAATCTGCAGTATCATCTAGCAATCCACGTGTACATGTAACAATATGTATTTACATCTAGCAATCCACGTGTACATGTAACAATCTGTATTATCAGCTAGCAATCTACGTGTACATGTAACAATCTGTATTATCAGCTAGCAATCTACGTGTACATGTAACAATCTGTATTATCAGCTAGCAATCTACGTGTACATGTAACAATCTGTAATATCATCTAGCAATCAACGTGTACATGTAACAATCTGTAATATCATCTAGCAATCTACGTGTACATGTAACAATCCGAATAATAATCTAGCAATCCACGTGTACGTGTAACAATCTGTATTATCATCTAGCAATCCACGTGTACATGTGACAATCCGAATAATAATCTAGCAATCCACGTGTACATGTAACAATCTGTAATATCATCTAGCAATCAACGTGTACATGTAACAATCTGTAATATTATCTAGCAATCCACGTGTACATGTAACAATCTGTAATATCATCTAGCAATCCACGTGTACATGTTACAATCCGTATTATCATCTAACAATCCACGTGTGCATTTAGCAATCCGTATTATCGTTTAGCAATCCACGTGCACATATAACAAACCGTATTATCATCTAGGAATCCTCATGGACATGTAGCAATCGCGATCATCACCTAGCAATCCCCGTACAATCTACATGAGTCGCTCCCCTTATGTAAGCAGCCATGGATACCCGGGAATTTATGTGCAGTACAACCTTATCCTGGTGTATCACCCGTGACTTCTTTTACATTCTTCACAGTATGATATGTCTGGACAACACGGGTACACAGTCCTAAAGATTGGCACGAGATCACAAAGGATTATTATAGGGCTAAGTGACATACAATAGGTTCTATCTCTTAGACATGAATTTTGACAAACATCTAAATCCAATACATTAACCTGTCATATCCGAAATAATATTTCTTAAAATAAAATATGTTTAGAAAAATAGGGAATAGTTGGAATCAATAAGACATGTATTCCGATTTATATGGTATTGGTAGATGGAAATACTATGATCATATCTACGGGGGGTGGGCGATAAGATCTAATGGGTTTTAATGGTTTGTGTGATGAGATGGTGGCGCTCTAGTTCGTTAAAGAGGTCGGGGGTCAAATTCGAAATTTGCATGTTGCAGTCAACGTCAAGTTCATTAAGAGTGGGGGGTGCATTGTGACGTTGACGTACACGTCTGCCAATGACGTCCCTGACGTGTTCAATGGGGGAAAGGTCATGAGTGCTGGCAATAGCATGACATGCACAAGCGGTACAGTGATGTGCAGAACGCATTGACCCGTGACTCTACCATGCACTATATGGAGCGCAGTTCGTCCAGTCATTCTGATACCATCCCACAATATTATGATCCACTCCAAAACAATCATGCTGTACGACGTTAACGTCCATAAACGCTCATTATTGTGGGATGACACGTGGACGTCGTGCACGCAAATGTCATCTGTGCAGACGATCTCACGACATATGGGCATGTACTCCTACACAAGTTGCATGTCGTCCTTTATATGTGTGGCAACCCATTTCTTAATGCCATCGTTCTCACTAATCTGTCCTGGGCTGGAGCTGTTGCACTTGGGCCTCCAGAGCGGCGTCGATCACCGACTTTAAGTGTTTGTTGTTTTGTTTCTTTGTGAAGGAGACAAAGCATCCAGTATTTGTTTATGCTCGATATTTGAAATAATTCCTCAATTCATTATGACATATTTTGATCGTTTTGATCACTAGTTTAATCTCTCCTCCTCAGTTTGGAATCGTAAGACACTCGGAATGAAAACATCGGACTTCGCCCTCGATCTTGACCTCGGTCTTCCGTTCCCTCAGTTCGCTTTCCTCATGTCTTACAATCCCTAGCATGTCGTGTTATGACCTTCACACGATACTTGGGTTGAGCTGACAGATATTTTCAGAGCAGCTGTCTTTTATTGTTTAGCGTTGTATCTGTGACATGATTAATTTGTGTCTTAAAGAAAACGCTTAAAATGAATCGTAGTCTGAAATACATTATCCCCATATATTTCACAGGAAAGACGAAACTTATCAACTGACAGGGAGTGTCACGAGAGAGGCGAGGCATGTATCGCCATTGGCGTTAGCAAAACCCACTCACGAATAAATAAAAATAAGCAGTGAGCTAGTTTAGTTAAACACCGCTTTGACTGCTGCGTTTTTTTTGTATCTCCTAAAATTCGAGAAATTTTCGCAGTCAAGTGACGCAACTGTAAAACCCTAAAACCACCGGGACACCTGTATCAGTGCCCTGATACATACAGTTAACTACGGTTATAACGAACTCAAAGGGACCACTAACTTTAGTTTGTTATAACCGTAGTTTGTTATAAGCATATATACAGCATATATAGCAAATAGTCGGGACAAAAAAATCAGTTCGTTACATCCGCCAGTTCGTTATAAGCGTGTTCGTTATAAACGTACTTTACTGTATTGATAGTCTTTTTGTTTTATACTCCTTATACTACACCCATAGTTGGCAATTCTGAATCATTAGTGTTTGATGTCATTGTTCCATCTGGTGAGGTGAAATGGGGCTCAAAATTATTTTATTTATGTACAGACTCGTGTGTATGTATGTGTGTGGGTCTGCGTGGTCCACTTATGTCATTGTCACCGCTATTTTGCTTTTCACTCAATGTAATCTGTTTTGTCCGATTATTCAACCCATTTGGACACAGTCCTTATTTTATCCCCTTAATGCCAAGCGCTAGGAAGGGTAAGAAAAAGTAACTTCTTTTCCCATATTGTTGTATGACGCGGACAGGAAATCAAGCAGAAGTTCTGTTTACTATACCACGTGAACTGTCCTATTCACGTTTGGTTTTATTAACAGCTTGTCTGGCCATGACGGTTGTTACACTACAATTAGGTGAGAAGAGCCCTGACGGACTGTGTCTATCTCAGTCTTTATGATATAGTGTATACATCATAATGTATTTACAAGGACTAGGGTATTCCAGTATGAAAAGACTGACGCATATATGACGTTGTTGTCGGAGCTTATAGATGGCGATCTGTAATCCTTGGGAATCATTCTGTATGACAAATACATACGGTAGGTTTTCTAAATGTTTCACGTAGGGTGGAATATTTATATATGTAGAAATGTCTTGAAAATATATGATTGCGGAGTATGATTCCAGCACGATGTTGCAGACACAAAACGACAAAACTGTTCGGTGTTTCCTATCTTTGCTTTCCTTTACCAGATATCAAAGTAAATGGGTGCTAAACCAGGGAAAGAAAAGGAGCTGTGCATCGATGTGAATGTTAATAGTTCACACAAAGAGGGTAATTACTTCTTAACGTAATTTATTAATATGGTGTACTAATATGATCACTTGATGTCCTTAAACACAATTACACACTCTCATGTAATAATATTTATTACTTGCCCGTGAAGAGATCACCCGTTTAATAAACAAACAGCTGTATTCACATTGTGTAATACCAAAACGCGTGCTTATGTTCTCTCCGGGGGCGGTCGGGTAGCCAAGTGGTTAAAGCGTTAGCTCGTCATGCCGAAGACCCGGGTTCGTTTCCCGACATTGGTAGGTGTTCCCCGTTGTGATATTGCTGGAATATTGTTAAAAGCGGCGTAAAACCACACTCACTCACTCTAACATACAGAACGCTTTAACCACTAGGCTACCCGACCGCCCCTGTATGTTAGATGTGTTGTTAATCTGATGCATATACCTTGCCATCTATATATTTGTCTCTTTGATGTTTACACGTTCGTGTGTATTTTAAGAGTATGTGCACCCATGTCCATGTGCACATCCTGAGAGGCGACTAAATGGATCGGATTGTTTGAACTCAAACTTGATGATATCGAGCACTGGTTCGTTTGGTCGGGACTTAATTATCTACAGGTCACCGTCATATAGCTGGACACTCAAACAAACGACCACGCAAACAAACCAGTCGTAATCCCAAAGTATAGTGTATAACATGCTTTTCAGGAGAAACGCGCATCGAGAACAAGGGCAATGTTGGTAACATAGCCACTGGTGACAACCACTCTGGCCATATGACCGCCTCAGTCGGGGAGCAGCCAGGGAAGAGTCCAAAGCAATAGTAAGAACACATTTTGTTGAGAATGAAACTCGAGTACACCGTACCCTGATCCATTGACACAAATAATAATGTTAGCTCCTTGAGCATACACCTTCTGTTTGGAGTCCAGCACAATATAACTACACATACTGTTATTATTATATTTGTCAGTTTTGACAAAATACTCCTGTAATGTACTCCTCGTGTGCACCCGCAAGCGTCAGTGGATATGGTTTGGAAGTTGCTGGTGCTGTTTCAGTTACACAGGTCGGTCTACCAGCATTGCTAGTTAGCATATGCATTCTGGTGTTGTATCAACCTGTTATATCTATCTTGAAACAGGACCTGTTATATCTATCTTGAAACAGGACCTGTTATATCTATCTTGGAACAGGACCTGTTATATCATTCTTGGAAACAGAGGCTATTAACACATGTAGGGAATGCATATGATTACGGGAGCACATACTTGATTCCAGAAATCCAATACAATTGTGTCCAGTTGATATATTCTTAATTGTAGTTTACTGTACGTGTAGTTTACTTTTGTAGAACAGAAATATGGTCTAATATGGAACTAATTTGGATGATACCAAAGACTATTTCTGGCCATGGCTACGTGAAGGTTATCCCTCGAGTGTGTTTTGAAGGGTAAATATCCTTTGAAGGGTAAATAAACTTTGTATTTAGTGAGTCTTGACGAGTGCTTATTCCTAATACAGGATAGTTATCGTCCCAAAACACTAGCTTTGAAATCATTAACTTGGTGATTTTGATTTTTTTAGTGATAATGTCGAATGCACATTTCAAGAGAACGTTCGTTACCAATAACACATGGTATGGTTTCCAAAAGGGGTCGTAACCATCCCGTAATGCCTTATGGTCGGACATTACGTTTCAACACGGTTTGGACGTGTAGAGGATAAAAAGCGAGTACTCAATGTCACACAAAATGCGAATCAGGATAATGTTGGTGTGCCCCCTTTATGAGCTATGAGACATGGAATACAAAGGATCAATGGAATCAGATTTAACGTATTTCTTGCGTCTACGTCATGCTTTATTCGTGTTGCCAGATCTCTGTTATGTCTTCAAAACGCCCATTGATCAACACACTGCAAAACCTGGCCTAACAGGCTGTATATTTCAATACCCAACAGAAGGTATAGTCAACGTATCTCGCCACTAACAGGATGAATCATACCAATTGTACGAATACACCGAATCCGGATTTGGCTGTAGTCTCATGATCCACAGCGTTGACGTTGGAGGAAACGGCAGTACTAGAGGTACACTAGAAACAAACGTTTTTATTCTAACACACTACCATGATGACGAGCCAATGCTGCCATGCCATATATATACCACTTGGACCGCGTGCAGAAGATATATGTATCTTAAACCTTCCTTTGAAATGATGTTGGATACAATTCCCTATTGTACCTTATGTACCAGTTGCCACCGATTGTACCATCGCAGGGCACGATATACTCACCTTTCGTGAAGACTCCTTGACAGTGATTCATAAACACATATTAATGCTATAGTTAGAATTGCTGTTGAATATGGGAATGATTCTGTCACCTTTACGTTGCAACATGGTCATTTAAACATGTAAGGAACTGTCCCACTCAATTTATTAATGAACTTGCTGAAGAACTTGTAATATCAGGATTGATACGTTTACAAATTCTGAGGATACCTATAATTTATGTGTTGCGCACCGGCATGCTTGTTCACTTGTTGGGCACACGAGGGTACTTCATTGGGCTGATTTTCTCCCCAAAGATTCCCAATTGAAATTAGAGCGTGTTATAGAGTTCGAGAAATTTGGTTACACAAATATATTCCTACAAGACAAAGGACCACTATACACGACACATAAACATGTTATTTGTTTACATGCAATAACATAATACAACTGTCATGGTAACTGGGCATGACTAACTTAGCTTATATGTTACAGGAAAGTTTTTGTAGATTCTGGTTCCAACTTGGTGTTAAGGTAAAGCACAGTCACGCCCCCAAAGACGATAATGGCATCAAGTGCAAGGTAGGTCCTGTTTGGTCTGGTAACCTAGGCAACAATAAAGGTCTCATGACGACGTCAAATCAACCGTTCATATACGATGGTACATTTTGAATATTCTTTCCCGACAATACATTTGTACTGACATCTTGATTGCGGGAAAAACTGTATCCAAAGATGTTACTAAACGTGTTGATGTTTGAGGCAAATACAACATCTACATCTACAAGGTGTTCACCCCGATACCGGTCTCAGCAGCAAAGCATATCCATCATAAACAGCTTTGTCAGCGATATACATGTTCATTGATTTATTGAAGATGCTTCATGTGTCTCATTTACTGTCCATTGCATTACACACTTCATCAGGCGATTTCAGCCACCCTACCTTTATTTCCAGCGTACATAGAGTCTACATATGGTTGCCAAGACAGAATTTTCAGATAGGTGGTCATGTGTCTCTGCTTCTCAACGATGGGACATACATAAGTTGGTGGCCACGTCATGGGAAAGACTTTAAAAAAGCAAAGGTTTTCACTCTGCATGGCATTGAGCCATCGAATGGTGCAAGTTTGGAAGAGGACATACAATCCATGGAGTACACTTATAATCATGAATTTGAAATACCTTCAGAAAGATTGGATCTGCAGAGAATGAAAGATTTCTGGGAATCTGTCCTTACAACTCGTAACTTTGACCCAAAGAAGGAGAACTGCTGCTGGGTTGTGTACAACGTACTACTTGCTGGAGGCGCCCCTCCAGCATCAGTGTGGTCACCATGGCGACCAGGGATGATACGACGATACATGGTCAACTTTGTGGGAGACGGTTCTCCGATATTTCGACTTATTGGGAACTTCCTTCCTTTCTAAGGCGATGTTAAGTTGTCGAATTATTATTGCGATAGATTGTTTTATGTTGACTCTTAAAATGGTTATAAAAAGCTGCTCTGGATCTGTGGCGAGGTACGTTCTTTTCAATTAACAAACTTGAAGTTATGATGTATTGTAGCATGTCTAAAAGTATGTTCACTTGCGTATAAGTATGTAAACAACGTTAATGCGCCGTACACAGGGCTAAAACTGGATTTCAGCAACCCCTGCTAGTCTTCGGAGGCGACTAACGGGACCGCGGACATGGCTGGTGCATAACATGATATTCCAGTTGCCTAGATCGATGCTCGTGATGATCAGTGGTTTGTCCGGTCCAGACTCGCTATTTGAGGGAAATGAGAGCACGCATGACCCAGTAATCTAAGGAGTCACAATTTGCTCTGGAGATACACGTTCCCGAAGACTTAGCAGAACATATCGATCGTGGGTTCGAATCACAGTTCACCCTGATTATGGTACCGTTGTAGGTTTGTCAGCAATATTCTCATGCTCGTGGGTTTCCACAATATGGAAAAGGTCCTACACGCCGTACATGAAATTAGAGCTGCGTTGAACCAAACCCACTCACTCGTTGAGGTGAATCCATTTAGTTATGTTTCCTATCATATGAGATGTGTTTGATTTCAGTTTCAGATAATACATAGTAATACATATGTAACTGAACGGTTGGAATTGAAACTTTGAGGCCAAAGGTTTCAAGGATGGTTGAAGCTTACAGCGAATATTTTTAAGTAGATTTAAGAAAGCCTAGAGAGTCGAAAATACACAAGTAGCAGGAGTAGAAATTGTCATTTCCATTTTGACATTATTAATCATGTTTATCATGTCGGGTGCTTTCATACATCATCTATGCCGAGATCTTAAGAAAATCTTAAAGAAAAACATAAATATATCTTGTCAACAAATGTTTTCCGAAATGTTTCTGTTTATTAATCCAATCAATAGGATAAATCATCTCTGTTAAAATAATTAAAGCCGAGGAAATTACAGCAGTTATAAAGGCTTCCGTTAGAAATATGTGTGCTTCATAGTTGTTGAAACAACATACATGTAGATATAGGCGAAAATATTACTCACTTAGCATTAAAGAAAATACAAGTAGTCCGTTGGTTTCTTGATGGCGTGACATGAACGAACTCTTGCTGATAATGGAAGATGACGCTATTGTTAATGACGTCATGACGATTTTGTCCGTAAGGAAACACATACTCATTTTGTCAATTTTTTTTTCAGAAAAAGACTATATTGGTATTGTATAGAACAACGATTAAGGCTCAGAGTTTACCAATTTAATTGACTCGGGACAGATAATTCGCATTCCTTCGGTGCTTGTAGGAGGTTCTCTAATTCTGTCATATTCATGTTGTTACATGTATAAGTGTTCAGAGACTTCCTTTTTTATCCTGGTAATATGTTTCTTCTTTTCCGGCGAGATACTGAAGCAAGTATCATGTTTGTTTCAAGGAGAAAAAATCGTTATTAAATAAAACGCCAACTTCATCTTTTGTCTTTGAGAGAGTGTATTCAAAGAGAAATAACAATGCTCAAAAACTTCTGTTCGGCCGTGTGTGCCTTTATTGTCATTTTTTCTAAAATTTGTAGTGATTTGCTTCTATATGAGAGTAAAAAGTTGCAACAAAACTATTCTTGTTTTCTCTTGTCAGTACACATCACAACTTCAGGATATTTAAAACAGAATTTGTATCCAAATGTCCTATGGATTTGTACAGATTATATGTAGATTATGTGCAGCAGGTCACATTCTGTATGGTATCATTATGCCCATTATCTGTAAAACAAAAGCATCATGCCATCAAAATTTGTCTCATCATCCACTTCGACCTAGCTCCCCACATTTCCGATATTTCCTCTGTCATCATTTGCTTCCAACGCCTCCTCATGATCATGAGGTGGTACTCCAGCACATTCTCAAGATACATGCCTCACCTTCCCACCTTCCCCTCTTCACATCTTTCTCCGATCATCCACAGAGCTGGACGCAGCATGCTCTCCATCCATATCCATCACTGTGCCTGTCTCTGTGAGATCGTCCTGTAAGTTGTATCTTCTCTCGTATCTTCAACCCTGCCTTTCCTACTTCGATCTTCCTCTATGTTGTACTCAGCATACCTACTGACAGAGTGAGACTGGGCAACCTGCTTACATATAGAGTGTAATCTAGCAATAGCGAATGATGATTTTCAATTCCATTTTTGGCATTCCATACGTACAATATGATCTGTTCTGCGATATAAGAGGGAATTCGACTATTTTGCTAATATTCACAACATAAAGCAGCCAGTTCTACATATATGGATCATATTTATGGACTCACAAGGGGCAGTGGTGGCCCAGTCGTCTAAGGCGCCGCGATTCGCTGTGCAGAGTTGCGTCACTTGGGCACGCAAGAAACCCATGATTGTGGGTTCGAATCCCGGTTCACCCCGATTATGTTTCTAGGTTTGTCAGCACCATTCCCGTCTCGTGGGTTTCACCGAAGTGGTAATTATAAACGTCTGAGACCTGCACCTTTCGGACTTTCCTCCCACATTAAGCTGACACGCCGAGATATAACTGGAATACTGTTAAAAGCGGCGTTAAACCCAACTCACTCACTATGAACTCACAAACTCTGACTTATGAAATGGCTCACAGGTTTATGTGAGGTACCGAACATTCGATATTCTGGTGAGAGGAGGGAAGGTGGGGACGGAATGTGTGACAGGAATATTTTCCCAACAACTGATGACAAATAAGTATTCCATGGCCACCTTTATCAGGAACACAAAATGGAATGTGTGGAGGCACAACAAAAACTACCGCTCAACATCACATTATCTTCTCATTTATAATGTGAGCAATTGACGGCCTGGTAGCCTACTTGTTAAAGCGTTCGCTCGTCCCGACGAAGGCCCGGGTTCGATTCCCGACATGGGTACAATGTGTGAAGCCCATTTCTGGTGTCCCCGGCCGTGATATTGCTGGGATATTGCTAAAGGCGGCGTAAAACAATACTCACTCACCTTAATGTGAGCCGGCAGTGGGGTAGCCTAGTGGTTAAAGCGTTCGCTCGTCACGCCGAAGACTCTGGCTCGATTCCCCTATGTGTGAAGCCCATAATTGGTCTCCCCTGCCGTATTGCTGGAATATTGCTTAAAGCGGCGAAAAATAATACTCACTCACTCACTTTTATGTCAGCATCCATTTGCAACCCATTGGAGCAGGCTCAAATCAATCCCTTTAACATTCACTCTAGAGGTGAAGGTGACTACTAGGCCAAAAACACTCAGTCAAGGGTTAGATCACTCAATTCTACAGGGCCCAACACGCTCAGTCAAGGGTCAGATCACTCTCTTCTACAGGGCCCAACACGCTCAGTCAAGGGTCAGATCACTCAATTCTACAGGGCCCAACACGCTCAGTCAAGTGTCAGATCACTCTCTTCTACAGGGCTCAACACGTTCAGTCAAGGGTCAGATCACTCCATTCTACAGGGCCCAACACGCTCAGTCAAGGGTCAGATAATTCTATTCTACAGGGCCCAACACGCTCAGTCAAGGGTCAGATCACTCTCTTCTACAGGGCCCAACACGCTCAGTCAAGGGTCAGATCACTCTCTTCTACAGGGCCCAACACGCTCAGTCAAGGGTCAGATCACTCAATTCTACAGGGCCCAACACGCTCAGTCAAGTGTCAGATCACTCTCTTCTACAGGGCTCAACACGTTCAGTCAAGGGTCAGATCACTCCATTCTACAGGGCCCAACACGCTCAGTCAAGGGTCAGATAATTCTATTCTACAGGGCCCAACACGCTCAGTCAAGGGTCAGATCACTCTCTTCTACAGGGCCCAACACGCTCAGTCAAGGGTCAGATCACTCCATTCTACAGGGCCCAACACGCTCAGTCAAGGGTCAGAACACTCTCTTCTACAGGGTCAAACATGCTCAGTCAAGGATCAGATCACTCCATTCTACAGGGCCCAACACGCTCAGTCAAGGGTTAGATCACTCAATTCTACAGGGCCCAACACGCTCAGTCAAGGGTCAGATCACTCTCTTCTACAGGGCCCAACATGCTCAGTCAAGGGTCAGATCACTCAATTCTACAGGGCCCAACACGCTCAGTCAAGGGTCAGATCACTCCATTCTACAGGGCCCAACACGCTCAGTCAAGGGTCAGATAATTCTATTCTACAGGGCCCAACACGCTCAGTCAAGGGTCAGATCACTCAATTCTACAGGGCCCAACACGCTCAGTCAAGGGTCAGATCTCTCCATTCTACAGGGCCCAACACGCTCAGTCAAGGGTCAGAACACTCTCTTCTACAGGGCCCAACACGCTCAGTCAAGGGTCAGATCACTCTCTTCTACAGGGCCAAACACGCTCAGTCAAGGGTCAGAACACTCTCTTCTACAGGGCCCAACACGCTCAGTCAAGGGTCAGAACACTCCATTCTACAGGGCCCAACACGCTCAGTCAAGGGTCAGATCACTCAATTCTACAGGGCCCAACACGCTCAGTCAAGGGTCAGATCACTCCATTCTACAGGGCCCAACACGCTCAGTCAAGGGTCAGAACACTCTCTTCTACAGGGCCCAACACGCTCAGTCAAGTGTCAGATCACTCTCTTCTACAGGGCCAAACACGCTCAGTCAAGGGTCAGAACACTCTCTTCTACAGGGCCCAACACGCTCAGTCAAGGGTCAGAACACTCCATTCTACAGGGCCCAACACGCTCAGTCAAGGGTCAGATCACTCAATTCTACAGGGCCCAACACGCTCAGTCAAGGGTCAGATCACTCTCTTCTACAGGGCCCAACACGCTCAGTCAAGGGTTAGATTACTCAATTCTACAGGGCCCAACACGCTCAGTCAAGGGTCAGAACACTCTCTTCTACAGGGCCCAACACGCTCAGTCAAGGGTCAGAACACTCTCTTCTACAGGGCCCAACACGCTCAGTCAAGGGTCAGAACACTCTCTTCTACAGGGCCCAACACGCTCAGTCAAGGGTCAGATCACTCTCTTCTACAAGGCCCAACACGCTCAGTCAAGGGTCAGATCACTCTCTTCTACAGGGCCCAACACGCTCAGTCAAGAGTCAGATCACTCTCTTCTACAGGGCCCAACACGCTCAGTCAAGGGTCAGATCACTCCATTCTACAGGGCCCAACACGCTCAGTCAAGGGTCAGAACACTCTCTTCTACAGGGCCCAACACGCTCAGTCAAGGGTCAGAACACTCTCTTCTACAGGGCCCAACACGCTCAGTCAAGGGTCAGAACACTCTCTTCTACAGGGCCCAACACGCTCAGTCAAGGGTCAGAACACTCTCTTCTACAGGGCCCAACACGCTCAGTCAAGGGTCAGATCACTCTCTTCTACAGGGCCAAACACGCTCAGTCAAGGGTCAGAACACTCTCTTCTACAGGGCCCAACACGCTCAGTCAAGGGTCAGAACACTCCATTCTACAGGGCCCAACACGCTCAGTCAAGGGTCAGATCACTCAATTCTACAGGGCCCAATACGCTCAGTCAAGGGTCAGATCACTCTCTTCTACAGGGCCCAACACGCTCAGTCAAGGGTTAGATTACTCAATTCTACAGGGCCCAACACGCTCAGTCAAGGGTCAGAACACTCTCTTCTACAGGGCCCAACACGCTCAGTCAAGGGTCAGAACACTCTCTTCTACAGGGCCCAACACGCTCAGTCAAGGGTCAGAACACTCTCTTCTACAGGGCCCAACACGCTCAGTCAAGGGTCAGATCACTCTCTTCTACAAGGCCCAACACGCTCAGTCAAGGGTCAGATCACTCTCTTCTACAGGGCCCAACACGCTCAGTCAAGAGTCAGATCACTCTCTTCTACAGGGCCCAACACGCTCAGTCAAGGGTCAGATCACTCAATTCTACAGGGCCCAACACGCTCAGTCAAGGGTCAGAACAATCTCTTCTACAGGGCCCAACACGCTCAGTCAAGGGTCAGAACACTCTCTTCTACAGGGCCCAACACGCTCAGTCAAGGGTCAGAACACTCTCTTCTACAGGGCCCAACACGCTCAGTCAAGGGTCAGAACACTCTCTTCTACAGGGCCCAACACGCTCAGTCAAGGGTCAGAACACTCTGTTCTACAAGGCCCAACACAGTCAAGGGTCAGATCACTCCATTCTACAGGGCTCAACGCGCTCAGTCAAGGATCAGGTCACTCCATTCTACAGGGCCCAACACGCTCAGTCAAGGGTCAGAACACTCTCTTCTACAGGGCCCAACACGCTCAGTCAAGGGTCAGATCACTCAATTCTACAGGGCCCAACACGCTCAGTCAAGGGTCAGAACACTCTCTTCTACAGGGCCCAACACGCTCAGTCAAGGGTCAGATCACTCCATTCAACAGGGCCCAACACGCTCAGTCAAGGGTCAGATCACTCCATTCTACAGGGCCCAACACGCTCAGTCAAGGGTCAGATCACTCAATTCTACAGGGCCCAACACGCTCAGTCAAGGGTCAGATCACTCTCTTCTACAGGGCCCAACACGCTCAGTCAAGGGTTAGATCACTCAATTCTACAGGCCCAACACGCTCAGTCAAGGGTCAGAACACTCTCTTCTACAGGGCCAACCACGCTCAGTCAAGGGTCAGATCACTCAATTCTACAGGGCCCAACACGCTCAGTCAAGGGTCAGATCACTCCATTCTACAGGGCCCAACACGCTTAGTCAAGGGTCAGATCACTCCATTCTACAGGGCTCAACACGCTCAGTCAAGGATCAGATCACTCCATTCTACAGGGCCCAACACGCTCAGTCAAGGGTCAGAACACTCTCTTTTACAGGGCCCAACACGCTCAGTCAAGGGTCAGATCACTCTCTTCTACAGGGCCCAACACACTCAGTCAAGGGTCAGATCACTCAATTCTACAGGGCCCAACACGCTCAGTCAAGGGTCAGATCACTCTATTCTACAGGGCCCAACACGCTCAGTCAAGGGTCAGATCACTCAATTCTACAGGCCCAACACGCTCAGTCAAGGGTCAGAACACTCTCTTCTACAGGGCCCAACACGCTCAGTCAAGGGTCAGATCACTCAATTCTACAGGGCCCAACACGCTCAGTCAAGGGTCAGAACACTCTCTTCTACATGGCCCAACACGCTCAGTCAAGGGTCAGATCACTCAATTCTACAGGGTCCAACACGCTCAGTCAAGGGTCAGATCACTCAATTCTACAGGGCTCAACACGGTCAGTCGAGGGTCAGATCACTCTCTTCTACAGGGCCCAACACGCTCAGTCAAGGGTCAGATCACTCTATTCTACAGGGCCCAACACGCTCAGTCAAGGGTCAGATCACTCTATTCTACAGGGCCAAGATCAAGGATCAGATCACCCCCCACCCCCCCACCCCCCCCCAACCCCCCCCCACACACACACACCCCACCCCACCCCCACACCCTCTACTTGGCCAAAAACACGCACTCAAGGCTCAGGTGACGCCCCTCTATTAGGCCCCAAACACTCACTCATGGCTCAGGTCACCCACCTCTACTGGGCCCCAAACACTAGCTTGTCAGCTAGTTTCTCAACGTAGCTTTTCAAGAGAGTGGATCAGGTTTCCGGGGAATGTTTAGTGAATGTTTTGAAAGCATGTAAGGTATCGTGACTTAGATAAACATTTCACTAGCGTTTTACAGGGACGCAGTCAATCCTGAGGAATTGAGTGCCCATGAGGTATGCATATTGTGTAGTGTTCATAATAGATGCACATACACAATGTTGCCAGGGTGCTGGCGTTGACACTGAAGGAACCAGGAAGATCACGGGGTGCATATCCGTGTCAGTGTTAAGTAATGTAAGGCTTCAAATACTCATAATTATACATTATCAACGTAAATGTTATTCAATATTTAACGTTATGGCAATCTCTCCCTAAGCCTAACAGTATGTTAAGTGATACTTAAAGTCACGTTTCCTCGCTGTAGTTTTTATTGTGGCAAATCGACAGTTTATATGTTACTCAAAATTATGTTTGTTTGTGAATGTTCAACTCACAGTGAAGAAGAAATCATATTTTTTGCTGACAGGGACAGCATTAGTCTCCCCGCCACCAGTGGGGCAGGATACGCTAACATTTCATCACCTGGTTTCATCACTTGTTGATAGTGATTCATAAACACATGCTCATGGTATAGTCGGATTGGTACAATGAGCAGAGCAAATATGTAATATAACATTCACCACAATACATTCTCCATTTTCACGTCTAAGCTGAAACTAAGTCTTGAGGGTACGTTAATACTGGAAGGTAACTTTATAAAAATAAAGGCATCAAATGAGGACATCCAAACGCATGTGTGGAGTGTAAACAAGTGTTAGTTATAACTACATTTTTTGCCGTAGAACGTCACATAACTATTCATACATATTCGACATATCCTATTTAGGAATTATACATGTTACGGTGTGAAATGTCACTGTTAAGTTAAATATTCATATGTTTCATAAACTGTGTAGCACACACCCTCACCGTAAACAAACTCGGCGAATAAGGGCCATGTACTTAAGTTTGAATGTTTATCATCACAGGTGATGGCTGCAATAGTTCATACTGGAGGTATTATCACAATTCTACGAAGCACAGACAGATGGTGTGTGAGTGAGTGAGTGAGTGTGTGAGTGAGTGAGTGAGTGGTAGAGTGAGAGAGTGGTAGAGTCAGTGGGTGAGTGAGTGGTAGAGTGAGTGAGTGGGTGAGTGGGTGGTAGAGTCAGTGCGTGAGTGAGTGGTAGAGTGAGTGAGTGGGTGAGTGAGTGGTAGAGTGAGTGAGTGAGTGAGTGAGTGAGTAAATAGAGATTTACGCTGCTTCAGCACTTAAACAATAGATTCACACCAAAGATAGCTTTCACATAGCATGCCCTTGTGAGGAATCTAAACCGGATCTTCAGCGTGATGAGTCACCTGAAACACCAACGCCTATATAATATGCACTGACATGCGTGATATACGAATGAACATGTGTCCACAAGAAGATCGGTGCTCTCATGCGTGTAAATACCTAGTAACCGACGAGTGAGTGAGTTGGGTGTAACGACGCTTTTAACAGTATTCCAGTTATATCACGGCGTGTCAGTTTAATGTGGGAGGAAAGCCCGAAGTGGTGCAGGTGTCAGACGTTTACGTCTTCGGTGAGCCCCACGAGCACGGGTATGGTGCTGACAAACCTAGAAAATAATCGGGGCGAACCGGGATTCGAACCCACAATCATAGGTTTGTCCAAGTGACGCTCTGCAAATCGAATAATCGACTTGGACAACCTGTGCCCATGTCACATATAAGAACGTGTTAGGCTCGGTTTACATGGCGTGATGTTGTCACATTTACACGATGTGGTAGCATGTTCATGTCAATGTTCCAAAACAGTTGATAGCATGTCATTAACTATTTTGATGTGTTCCCAGCATTTTGAATCCATGGAGTAAGGGGAATATTCGCGTATCAATAACAGGTGGACGTCTATCAAATGAATGTTAAACATGGGACGAAAGAGAACCTAAGGTTGTAATCAGTGGAAGTATGATTCTGTGTGTGCCCTTGTCATATTACAGTCCTTCACTGGCCATTAACTATTTAATGCTAATTCGTCCCTATAAGGAGTCTTGAAAAAATACAATAAATCAATAAAGATACAAGGTGTTCAAGAAAAGGTATCGAGTCGCACTCGTGACACCCATTACAGACACATGCAACGGCAAGGCAATTGATCAACTGAACAATGATGGGAACGTACGGTGCAAGTCAATATGGGGAATTGCATCGACATAATCTGTCACTGATGCATCAAATGTGAATTTGTACCTTATCTCGAATGAAGTGTGCACCCCTTGTTGGGATTTGTTCGAGACCTGTCGTCACTATTATGACGTCACATCGCTCTTTGTGATGCGGTGAGGTCGGGTAAACTAGTGGTTAAAGCGTTCGCTTGTCACGCCGAAGACCCGGGTTCGATTCCCGACATGGGTACGATGTGTGAAGCCCATTTCTGGTGTCCCCCGCCGTGATATTGCTGGAATATTGCTAAAAGCGGCGTAAAACCGAACTCACTCACTCACTCTTTGTGAAGCAGATATGACGTCACAGTCTTCTAAAGAAATTCGCCAATTGTCTAGCTCCCTGATGTAAGTAAAACTTCAAATACATTCTCTTTGGTAATTTCTGTGATGTTTTCTTCGAAAAGTGTAGTAAGCTAGTAGTGTACATAAAACTATGTAAGAATGCCTACAGACAAATCGCATCTATGATGTAGTGGGTAGAACGTCTTCCCGGAGAGCAGAAAGTGGGTCATACCAAAGGACGTTTCACAACGGTACGTATATCCTGCTTGGCGCTCGACAAAGGAGGTTAAAACAAGGACAGGTCGGCCCCGGTATGTAGGTTAGTAACTATGGCATGGTATCTCAGTGAGCCAGCACTAGTGAACCGGCATTAGTGTGGACTAGTACAGGCAGAGACAGACAGACAGACAGACAGACAGACACCGACACACACACACACACACACACACACACACACACACACACACACACACACACACACACACACACACACACACACACACACACGCGCGCGCGCGCGCGCACACACACACACACACACACACACACACACACACACACACACACACACACACACACACACACACACACACACACACACACACACAAACACACACAAACACACACACACACACACGACCCGTCGCAATATATACGTCTCAATAATCATGAACGCAATGGTAAACCCTATATCACCCTATATGACCTCACTTGAAGTACAGATTACCTACCGGGTGATGTAGCCGTTACATCTGCTGTTTCAATCATAGATTGTCACTGTTATTTGATACATGTGATTGACCAATGACAACCGAAAAATTTCAAAATTCATTTTAGAATAAATATTGATTAATGAGATTAAAGGCAAGGCTTCAGGGAGATATTTGGACAAACAGGTCTTTCAAACAACACCAATCTATCAACTCATTCAGTTTGTTTATGTTGTCACGCCGCACTCAGCAATATTCCAGCTATACAACAACCACCTGTGAACACTCGAGTCTACGCCATACAATCCAGTGATTTATATTATTAGCAACCATGCCCGACATCGGGGGACGCAATCTGTTACGTAACTTCGATTAGAACCCTAAAGTGTTAGTAATCCAGACTCCATCTTGTTCTTTAGCAGATGAGTCAAACGTCATCACGAGACAGGACAACACTCATCATGTGACATCATTGGCAGTCACGTGATTTGGGGGTCGACATTGACATGTATTGTTTCGTCTCTTGGTACGGATTAACCAATGGAATTGCAGTGATGGTAAATAAACAGACATATGAAGATAATTTATATTAAATCCATTTATAATAAGGCCAGTAGTGGATACAGTTTGTTGTTCGCCGTTCGTCATTGTCATAATTAGGCAAGAAGTATGCAAGTAGAATGCTTCTGTTATCAGCTCCTTGACATACTTTAAAAAGCAATCTGACGACGCGAGGCGGGCGTGCCGTGCTGCAGAAATACGTGGACGTTGATAGGTAACTGGGCCACGTAAGAACTCTTTAAATGTTCTGTAATGTTGTTATCCTCGTTCTGTTTAAATTTCTGATTGCCCTGTCATGACTGTTACAAATCAGGAGGACGTTTACACAAAGATTCAATTCCGCTGCGTAGATCAGTGATGACATGGCTACGTTGGGCTCATGTGTTTATTCGAATTATATTAAAAAGTGATGTTCACTAAACGGTGACTGTATTTTGACATACTATTGCCACTCATCACATACATTTGATACTGTACACTTGGGGTTGAATATGAATAGGGTGATGTTCCATAGTCCATCTTCCAAAGTTCGCCATGTCTCACCCTTTATCAAAACGAAACTAGGAAGTGGGCAGGTGTAATAATGCAGTACACTTGTTATTTACAAGGGTTGTCGACTTTGTATTTTCAAACTGGCTTAGTCTAAAGTCTCATCTTGCTCATGTGTTCAAGGAAAGAGAGTCGGGGCGATCTCCAGTTAGCCTGTTGGGTTATTTACACATAACCCTGAACATGAAGATCTTGTTTACTTTTGTAAACATTGCTACAAGTCTTCCACAGTTGTCTCCCTTGCGTGCATACCTTGACTGCAATCAGCCAATATAATTATAGGCACTGTAAATTCAGCTATAAGAACAAGACTTTTGCTTGTTGGTTAATATTATCTATTACCAGGGTGACATAATTTTAACCACTCAGTACAAATGTAATGATATGTACAATAATATACAGTAAACTACGGTTATAACGAACACACTGATAACGAACAGACCGATATAACGAACTCATTTTTTAGCCGGGCCATTTGTTGTATATATGCTGTTTAAGTGCTAATAACGAACTACGGTTATAACGAACTTAAATTAGTGGTCCCTTTGAGTTCGTTATAACCGTAGTTTACTGTAACAATGTCTTCAACAGGCTCGGTTAGGGATCTACAGTAAACTACGGTTATAACGAACACGCTTATAACGAACTGACGGATAAAACGAACTTACTTTTTAGTCCCGACTATTTGCTGTAGTTATGCTGTATATATGCTTATAACGAACTACGGTTATAACGAACTAAAAATAGTAGTCCCTTTGAGTTCGTTATAACCGTAGTTTAATGTATATGCAAATCAAAGTGTATTGATCCTGCTCTTGCATGCGTATGTACCCGTTGATTACAAGTAAACGAGAGGACAGGGTAGTCAAGACTGAAATTGATTGAACGCGAGGGGCAGAAGGGAGAGGAGTGCATGAGAGGGACAACACAGACTGGAGTGAATGGGAGGGACAGCACAGAATGGAAATGTCCTCCCCTTGTCTACCGGAAGACGTTTAAAAAGACTCATTATGTAACAATATAAATTTAAATATACAGTAAAGTACGGTTATAACGAACTCAAAGGGACTACTAATTTTAGTTCGTTATAACCGTAGTTCGTTACAAGCATATACACAGCATAACTACAGCAAGTAGTCGGGACCAAAAAGTAAGTTCGTTATATCCGTCAGTTCGTTAAAAGCGTGTTCGTTATAACCGTAGTTTACTGTACATGTTTCTGGTACGCGTTTGTTACAAGACAGATTGTTCCAACAGGGATATATGACACATTATGTGACACATTAAGCGTTCATGTATGCCTAGCGGAACGTTATGTTAGGGAACTATGTCATGCAACAAGCATGTATGGTCAATCCATGTAAAGGAATAGTCAAATGTGCCTATATTGCTACCAGGAACACCTAGACTTATCCAAAGCCCCGTGACGCGACTTGCAATATCCAAGCTGCGATAAATTTAAAAAGCCTGAGGCAAGCGTGGCGTTTTTTTAGTAAAGGTAGACAAAATAGTGATTGCTGCTATGCCTAAGGTACACGTACATTGTACATAATTTGTCACACATGTTATTAATCATTGCTGGCAAAAATACATTTAAACTTTTCATCGTACACACAGGTGTTGCGTTCTTAATTTCTTGAGTATGGAATCGTATTGCTATTTGTCTATAATACTGTTACTTATCTGTCTTGGTGTCCACGCCTCGTTATCTCGAATGTCCATGGTATCTCGAAGTTACAACATTGTTCCGCTAGATTCGAGATAACGGGTTTCAACCGTTTTGTGGTACATTTTCCCCACAATGACACTCAGTAGTTTCTAGACACGAATAAATAATAAACAGATAATTTGGAAACAAGATAATAACATCTGCATGTACAAGTACAGTAACAAATAAACCTTCAAATCGTCTGCATGTGTTCCATGTTTTCATTTTAGGACTTACCCCTTAGCAACGGACGACAAAGAGGAAGACCATGGGAAGGTCTGTTTTGTTTCATTCGTTTATAGACCCGTCAAGATCCGGGGTAGAATAGGTCTTCAGCAACCCATGCTTGTCGTAAAAGGTGACGATGCTTGTCGTAAAAGGCGACTAACGGGATCGGATGGTCAGGCTCTCTGACTTGTTTGATGCATATCATCGATCCCAATTGTGTGGATCGATGCTCGTGATATCATTCACTGGACTGTCTAGTCCAAACTCGATTATTTACAGACCGCCGTCATGTAGATGGAATATTGCTGAGTGCGGCGTTAAACAACAAACAAACCTACTCATTCGTTTATAAGAGAAAACTCAAATTGATTTCTAAGCTGCACATTATCGCACTGATATACTTAAGAGCACAATATTGCATTGTAGGGCCAAATAATGGTACTAAGAATGAGCTGCGTACATGTGCATGGCAAACTGTGACACTGCTTCCGCCACATTATCCCCAATAACGATCCAAGTTACGACATGTCCTCGGAACCCCAATGCTCGTTGCAATAGGTGAAATATCTGAATTTGATAGACAGGCTCTGGTCTGTCTTATTGCATGTATTGCTGCCCTTCAGTTACTGTTAACGTCGTACAGGACTGGTCCGTGGACAATGACATCTCTACACCCCCCTGTGTCATAATGTCCTGTACTAAGATGAGGTCACAGTCAGGAACCTGATGCGCTGATGAAGTATGCGCAACATCATCAGCCAAATTTTCTTTAAATGTATACTTCCACTCTCCGTCTGCTTCAATGTTTTTTATACTCATTTTGCATGTCAACTGTACACCAATAGCGTTTGTGGTCACATTTATCTTTTCGATCTTCTTCAGAGTGCATAAAGTTTACATCTGGATGCCAAAAGGAGGTTCTTTTGGTCACGCCTCCTTGGAGATGAGCAGCGGCGAATATGTCAGCTGGTGGCCACGTGGAGGCAAAAAAGGGAAATCCAAATGCGGGATAGGTAAGAAGTCTTCCATAACCAACTCCAGCCTTAAGGAAGATATTCGCGAGATGGAACGTGAGCCGACTCATACATTTACTATACCGGAGGAAAAATTAGATGAAGAAGAAATGAAGAATAAGTGGGACAGTTGGTTTACTAGCGGTCATTACAGTCTTTTCGGTTCAAATTGTTGCTGGGTTGTCTACAAGGTCCTGCGTGCAGGTGGGGCACCAGTCAGTGCAACCATACTATGGAGACCAGAGACTCTGCGTCGATACTTGGCTACTTACCTGGGTGGTGCATGGGGAATTACAACATTTTATAACTTACCTTTTTCTGATATGTTTTGTTAGATGGTATTTTGTTATCAGGTCAGGTATTAGCATTGTAGGCCTGGCAACCTATCCTGAGAGCATCTCCGTATTAAACATAATTATATCATTGTCACAAACTGAAGTAAAAGCAAGACATGTTTAATATTTTCAAGAGTTTTTGTTCATTATAATCTACATGTACATGCGCACACGCTATTTTATGTAACCGTTACGATTTTGTTCAAGACAGAAAGTCTTGTCATTTGTTTTCTATAACGATGGTATGTTTTAACATGTCTGCGTGAATCACCTCATTTCGAAACATAATGGCACTTTGATCATTATGACTGAGACCAACATTTTAATCTTTTTGGTCTGTTTAGGCGGGGTATTTTTAGTGCTCACAGGAAAATATTGTCATGTGGTAGAAGTGAATGTTTTAGGCTAATTTGTGGTGATTGTCAGTGGTAGTAAATAAGTGAGGTGTTGTGAACAGTTTTCAGTGGTACTTAATAATTAAACACTCTTGTGTCTCAAAGAACACGACAGTGTTGATGGATCTCGTTTCGGGATGGGTACAGATGTTTCTAGAAGTCTGGATGTACCTGTGTAAGTGCGACACGAGGACGATTTTCTTAGATACTTATCAAGTGCAGACGTGATATCTTATAAAACACATATTGCTAACAGCTTCCACTTTATGACATTTGCGAGCACACTTTTATCAATTGTATGCTTGATACATATCGCAACTACAACATATTTGTGATCCACAGAGTTGCCTTTTTATGATTGTGTAGCTCAATCTGTGTTTCATGATAATGTATTGATTATTCATTGATGTTGTGTGGTCATGCATTAATTTCACAAGGTATTTCTGTACATACTTATTTCTGGGTTAACCTTTATGTTTCAATTTGGAAATCATGTAATAAAGTCAATTTCATAATGCTGTCAGAAAGTTTTCTTGATGTTCTTTTCAGTAATACAACTGTTGTAGCACTTTGTAGAAGCTATGACATATTTCTAGCAAGCCCATACGGAATATTGCGCTCAATTTCAAAATGATGCCCAGAATGAAATTCTAAGAACGGGATCGGGCGGCCAGGCTCACTAACTTGGTTGATACATGTCATCGATCCCAATTGCGTGGATCGATTATCATGATGACAATCACTTGATTGTCTGGTCCAGACTCGATTATTTACAGACCGCCGTCATAAAGCTCGAATACTGCTGAGTGCGGAGTTAAACAACAAACGAACGAAAACGAACAAACGAACATGTTATAAAGATTATATTTGACTGTTATTGGAATATTAAGAACGTCATTTCGGGTTTTTTAAATATCAAAACGACATTTCGTTTGTGTTCATTGTTATTTATATTCCAATATACCCATTTCCAATGAAACAGTTGTTTCCATATATCCTGTGTCTTTTTATCATGCACTAAATACAAGCGACAGATCCCTTTCCATGTTCACAAGAAATCTCTGCCCTGAAGAGAGTCGATTGTACCATTCCGACTATAGTTGCAATTTATAGACTCAATACTAATGGTAAAACGCAGTCATTCCTTCTTCGGGTATGTGAGCATGGTAACCATAAATATATTTATATAATGTATTATATACTCATCTGGCAACGAGATTGGAAACAACAAGAAAATACATATTTCGCTTTGCATGTAACAAAATACGATTTTGTCACGGAAATATTTTTGCTTGTCAAGATAGATAATTTTTAGACGAAAGTATTTGGGCACGGAATTCAAAGTATCTGTTCAATATTTGCGCATTCAGTTGGTCCATGAGAAAAAGTAAACAACAAGTTTAAACTTAGTTTCTTAAAACTTGCCTGTATGCAGGTAGTAGGAAAGTTGGTATTGCCTCCAAACACAGCATATATACATATTGTTCCCACGTAATACATCTTCTTACAGACCAGGGTAGTCACACAATTTGCCATAGGGTCAGACAGTTTGCATTTCTACAGAAAAAAACTTACCATACAATATGTGTGTATTACAGCAGATACACACTTACCAATAGCCCCAAATGTTTCGATATATTTCTGCATCAGGAAATTTGGCATAGCGATACATAGATCAGCTATTAAATATATGTGTTAACTACAGTTACCACGGCAACACAACTAAGGTGAATTTAACAGAAACCACCACATATTCTTACTGGTAATGATCGGACTCAGCTTCGGGCTACCAAATACTTTTTTGTTTCCTTTTCAAAGTCTGTTGAATTGCAGGGCGATGCCAAGCGGGACAACTTCTGTCATAATTCTTCTGACTGTGTCCTGAATACTAGACCCTCCTGTTACAGGAAGTCTTAACACCTGTGAGATGAAGTACTGTATCAGGGTATGGCGAAGGGAAAGACAAACTAAAATGTCAAGCAAGCAAATACTAAAACTCAGAATTTAATAAAGTTGAAAAAACATATATAAACATTTATATACAAATTATAAAGGAAATGTCTAGAACTGAAGGTGCTTTATGTGTTACACTATTGACAACTGACAAGGAAAATAAATACATCCATACTCACAACTGTCTTACAATCATGGCTGGAGTAGATTCTTGCCCAGTTCGTCAAGTTTGTCAAGGGTTTTCAGAAGGAATACTATCAAAGATTGACCTGCATCATCTGTTTCCTGCTTTCCCTGGGCATCAATCCACACAAGGACAAGTAGTAGTAGTAGTAGTAGTAGTAGTTGGTTGGTTGGTTTGTTGGTTGGTTGGTTGGTTGTTTAACGCCGCACTCAGCAATATTCCAGCTATATGACGGCGGTCTGTAAATAATCGAGTCCAGACCAGACAATCCAGTGATTAATATCATGAGCATCGATCCACGCAATTGGGATACGATGACATGCAACAACCAAGTCAGCAAGCCTGACCACCCGATCCCGTTAGTCGCCTCTTACGACAAGCATAGTCGCCTTTTACGTCAAGTATGGGTTGCTGAAGATCTATTCTACCCCGGGATCTTTACGGGTAGTAGTAGTTGTAGTAATAGTAGTAGTAGTAGTAGCGGGGTAGTATTGAGTTGTTACCCTGACTCCTCACAAAGGCTCATCATTAGGCTTAAAATACAATTCTACTAATGGTCGATGTTTGACCAATCTGGGTCTTCAGATATTCACGTTGAATCAGGAGTAACAAGAATAGTTGAAGAAAAGAAGACAGATTTGCACAATTTCACACTATCCCCAAAGTTATCAACATGAATCGTCCATGATGAAAACATGTACGCCAACGTAATTCGAATCATTATAAAATGCCATTTCATTGATCACATTATAAGCCATTTTCATAGGGAACATCATACAATTCTACTAATGATGTTTGACCACACTGTCTTAGATATTCACGTTAAATCAGGAAGAAACAAGAATAATTGAAGTAAAGAAGACAGATGCCTCTTTGGCTTTGAGCATGGCGTCTGGGGAAATGAAACAGAAATTTACAAAATCATTGTTAGTGTTTCTGCTTCGTTATACCATGGTTATCTTACATAGCCTATTCTAAATACATGTATGGTCGAGGGGACTGACACATAAAGGCGCTTTATACAACATGTCAGTTGTGACGCTGGTAGAAACGTATCCACGGTATTTTAACTACAATCAGTGCAGAGGAAAATACCTTATCTGACCTCAAACGACAACTGTCGGAAAACCTCTACTTGACGTTTACCTTGTTTATTGTGTTCACATAAAAGGCCTCGCAGGTAGCGCGGTTCGTGAAATGTGATATGTGAGGTGACTAACTGAATGAATGCGGAAGTATTTTCGTTTCACAGACAAAACACACAATCTACGATATCAAGTCAGTTTGTGTCCAAAACATCAGAACATAAACAATCAGGAATATCCCCTGCAACATGTTCCCGAGGGGCGGAGAAGGAAAACTGGCAATAAAAAATATATATATTTATATGGATCACTAAAATTCAATGGTGACGACAGTGGTGGTCAGCCAGTCATTAAAATAGTTAAAATCAGATTAGAATAATGCTTTTAATTCATACTGGAGGCTGTTGTAATTACAAAACTCGGAACAGGGCCAATTTCATAATTAAAATGAATGTTAGGGCTGGTCAAAACAATATCTACAGGTTACACACAACCAAATGTTTTCCCATAAACTTCTATAGTAACGTTATATTTTCTTAAAAAATAACTAAGCATTCAACAGCTATTACCTGTACGTGTGTGCACAGTTTGGCCTTAGAGCAGCAATAAAAACATAAAAAATGACTAGCTTAGCCAGCTCCTTTTCCGAGTACAGGAAGCTAAACACCCCACCCCTCTCGATCTGCACTGAAGGCTCCCTACGAAAACCGCACTGTCCCGCACTGTCCAAACTGGTTCTGATTTGGTGTAGTAGAACCCTCAGCAATTGTTGGAATGAAATGTATATGCGTTTCTAACAGAGTATTTGGTTGGCTGTAGTTGATTTAACTCCAGCCATATCGAGGTCAGCACTGAGTGAAGGCTCTGTCAGTTCATCTGAGCTCTCTGTGTAACCATGCAGAAACGCACACAAAGGCATAAGGTAATCACGTCAACAATGTTCAACAGACAGATTGACATCTTTAACACGCACATCTAGCAATCTTACACGTCAGTAGTGGACGTCTGTCCAGTATGACAAGAATGTGTTGTGACCCTATGTAAACTGACGTTTGTTGTACCTATGTCGCTGACAAAGACAGCACGTTATTCAGTGTCTCGGGTCTCAGCTAGACTGTATTTATTGTGAAGTCATCACCATCTACTTTGCATTGGGGTAAGTAGAACAACTTTACATGTATTTCATGTCAACTTCATGAACAAAATGCCTGTGATGTGTTACGTGGATGAGCATGTATTACCAGTAGACAGTAAATGCAATAATTCCGAATCACTAAAATCGTAATAAATTACAGTTATAATTTGAGAGATTGTATTGTGAGAATACAGGTAAAGACTATTTCAGCTGAATGGATACGTTTTACATGTACTATGGCGTTTCTGCTTCAATGTTAGACTCGGAGACGTACGTATCATTAACATCTACCTCCGAGACAAGTGACGAGTTGACCATGGCAGCAGACCGAAAGTAAGATTGACGTCTTGGTTATAAGAAACGTTATTGTGACGTTTACGTTTATTTCGAAACAGTTAAAGTCATCTTAGAAAAATATCTCAAAATGAATAGCTTAAAATAGAGGATTCTAAACGCCTACTTGATTCTTGGTTATAATAGGTGAGGTGAAATGGGATTATTGCACTTAGATAGCGACGTGTGTGTGTGTGTGTGTGTGTGTGTGTGTGTGTGTGTGTGTCTACTTGTACAGTGTACGGACTAATGTCGATCTTATAGTGCCAACCCACTGATATACCATGCCGTAGTTTAACATGAATACCACACTCAAACACCAAGCCGATGACACCAAGCCGACGAATCTTTTAAACGTCTTAACGTATGACGCGGCCGGGGATCGAACCCTTAACCTTACGCTCTCCGGGCGGACCCTCTACCAATAGACCACTTGATTGATTACGTGTCATCATACCCTGAAGACGTTGAACGGTGTTTATACCATCCATCACTGGTTTGTCTGATCCTGGCCTGACCTGTTTAATTAGGGCAGTCGTTATTCAACTGGAATATTGCTGAATGGGCCGTTAAACACTAAAACGTCTTGACACCTGGACTTTGTGGGTCCAACATTGTTTAAAACATAATTGCAGGCCTTTTTAGCCCTGCATTAGTTGTTAAATTCATGATCATATTCAGTTATTTCTGTGTTTCAGTTATGTTTTGTTTCAAGGTCCCATGAGGTTATATATGGATGCCAACAACGTTTTTGAAGATCGGACACGTGTCTCCCAAGTTGGGCGATATCACTTACATAAGTTAGTGGCCAAGACATAAGAAAGAGCTT